AGGATGATGGATTGGTTAATAATTGATTCCATGACTTTACAGGTGACGCAGCATAAGGAGATTGGCCTGTAATTTTCAACTAGGCTTGGGTCTCCCTTTTTGAAGATGGGGATGACTGTGGCTTGTGACCATAGGTTAGGCAAGGAGCTGGTTCTGAAAGATTTTTCAAAGATTATGCTTAGAGGTTTGGCTATGGCAGTGGATAGCTTTCTTAAGAAGTAGGCACATATTCCATCCGGTCCAATAGATAGAGATGGTTTTAGGTTGCGTAGTGCTTTTTCAACATTGTCTTCTGTGAAATCGATATGTATTAGATCATTGTTGTTATCTGTGGTACGGCTAGGAAATACTTCTTCTTCTTCTTTTAACAACCCCATAATCCCATTGCTGGGTGGAGTCTGGACAACTGAATAGAGCTAGCAGAGTGTTTAATGGCCAGATGCCCCTCCTGTTGCCAGTGCGGAGCTTTGTTTAGCAGATATATTCTCATTGTGCCCTGAGAGACAAATATCTGCCTCTACCTAGGATCGAACTCACAGCCTTCTGATTGTGAGGTGAGAGCTCCACCTCTAGGCCACTGCACCACTCCACTGACTATAAATAATGCTACGGTTGGTAAAAATAAAAAATACCAACAATGGTGCACTGGAAAATCTGCAAGAAATACCATTTCAGTGAAAGCAAGAAGTGATGGAACCCAGTGATGGGCTTCATTTTTTTTTTACTACTGGTTCTGTGGGCGTGGCTTGGTGGGCGTGGCAGGGGAAGGGTATATAAAATCTCCAGTCAGAGGTGGTATTTGCCAGTTCTCTGAACGACTCAAAATTTCCACTACCAGTTCTCTAGAACTGGTCAGAACCTGCTGAATACCATCTCTGATGGGACCACAATGGGGAAAAAAATAAAGAAACTGAAGTGCTCTAGGATTTTAAATTCAAACAGACAAGCATCTGCCACATAACACTCCAGAATTAACCATTGTTGATAAGAAAGTCACGTATGTGCAGGGGCTGGGGTGCATGCATGTAGTGCACACATATGTGTTGCATTTTGGGGATGCGTGCACGCATGCTTTGGACATTTGGTGGTGAAAAGGTTAGCCATCACTGCACTAGGGTGAAGCCCCTTCTACACTGAAATTCAAGTAAGCCATGTCCCATGCAAAACAATGTAGGCTTTTGCAACCACTGTTGGTGGCTGTATTGATTTAGTGTGATGTTTAAACAATTCCACCCACCGTTGTTAGCCTTTGTAAAACTATGGATATTGCTTGAAGGGGGGAGTCATAGAAATGGTCACCAATTAATATCAATATTGCTTTGAACTTTCTATTTAAGTGAAATTCAAAGATGGAAGCATTTGGTTGATCATGGGTCTTGGAAGATTGTATGGTCCACCCTTGTTAATATTCAAATTTTAAATTTTATCTGTAAATTCAAAATTATTGACCAGACTAAGATTGAAAAAAATTGACTGAGGTTGAAAAAAAAAATCCAGATGAAGGATTTTGAAGCAAGCCACCTTTACTATACTGCCAAGGAAACAGCAAGGATGCAGATGTCAGGAACTGAACTTTACTTAGTGATATCATTATCTTTAAGTAAGCCAGAAGGAAATAATAGATTAAATGTAAGCTTTACCTTATGCTATTTTTATTCTATTCGTACTTTAATATAACAAACTGGAAAGAAGAAGCATGAATTGGAATGAAAATTATCATTTCGAGTTTGAATACCTTATATCCTGTAGATCAGGTTACCTCAGTAAAGCTCTTTGTTTACAATAATTAATTTCTCACTGATTGAAGCTGAATAAATTACATTAAATATGAATGTTAAAGAATGTTTTCATTTTTTTTCTTATCGACTCCAGGAAGAAGGAAAAAGATCTAATTTTCTTCTTCCTGATTGACTCTTCAAAAATGATTCCCATCCAGGAATGAGAATTCAGTTTTGTTTTATTTTGTGTTACTAAATCACACATTTGGAAGATTTTTTTTCACAATACTGCCTTTTTAAAAATAGCACATTCTCACATTCTCATTTTAAAGATTGAGACTGTCAAGGAGAGAAGGTGATTAGTTTATCTCTTCTTCTTCACACTATTTCAAAGAAACATGCCACAGTGTGAACATTACAAACAAGAATGGGCAAAGGATGTAATAACATTGCAGGATGAAGCAATTCTCCTCACCCTTCTGCTTTCCTGATGTGTTAGGATTAAAAAAACCTAGAACTGTAAGACAATTGCCCTGGCATTGTGAAAATTGTATATTCCAAAACATTTGAGACTGAATTAATTTAAGCTATATATTAGCAAGATCATGAAGAGAATTGGACTGTTTCTTTAGGATAAAGGCAGAAAATAGTATTCTGTTTAGGATAAAGGCAGGATGTGGGTGACACATTCAGATTTGCAAGTTTGTTGTCAGTTCTTCTAATTAGACCAGACTCAGAAACCAAAGTTATGAATAGTAAAACTTCTTTTATTATAGGATTACAGTAATATAATTTTGCAAGTCTAAAAAGAACTAAAGAAGAATCAAATCTGAGAGGTTTTCTCAATTTGCATCCCTGCTTTGGACACAGAATTCTCTTGTCCAATGATCATCTTGTCTATGGCTATTGCTCCCATTCCTCAAAGTTATCATTACAATATATTACATTATTTGTGATAAAGGGTAAAGGATTGAACAACTGGTACCCAAAAATACCTGAATGGCATGCATTTCCCTATCCCTTATCTAATTAAATCATTGGGATGAACAATCAGGCCAAAAACATATACTCGTTTCCTTTAGTAAAAAGTTGTGGCAGTGTATACAACCCATGATTTGCTCAAATTGTTATCGAAGGAAGGAATTTGTAAGATTCCCATATTTGCCATAGCAACAGGGAGATGACACTAGAGTTTTGTGTTTCTACTTTGTAGTGGTTGCTTGGAAACAGCAACAGATGAACTGATGGGAAAAGAACACAGTAGAATTGATCCAAAACAGAGTCAAGGTGTTCAAAGCAATTAAAAAAGAAAGTCAGCAAGAGTACAGTAGAGAAATAATATGTTCAAAGGAGTGATGGGCAAGTGGATGACATAAATGTATTTCTGCATAATGGATAATTAGTCCCTGTGACTGGGTTCACACAAAATTGCTAAAATAGGGTTGAGTAATTTATAATTCAAAGTGTTGTGAGAACTCATCTGAATTGTCTAAATCATCAATCATATTTAGTTAACTGGTGATTAGGGTCTGTCAGGAAATGGAATTTAGATTAAATGACATTTATAAAGGAAATGGAGTGATCAGAGAGATGATCACATTATCACTTGGAATATCACAATGGTAGATACCAGGATAAATGGTTGAAGGGCAACACATTAAACTCTATTGATTGAAGTTAGGTATAAATATTCATGATTTACACAGATCAAGATTTTCACTTTTATCATTGGTTCATTCAGCCTTTAAATTTAAATGATTGAATTATAATGTTTTATGAGTTTTCTTAACTAGTAAATGATTATTAAATTATTGAAAGGACTATTTCATTCATTTCAAATCTTTTCTTCCACAACTTTGTCAGAAACTCCACCTGCCAAAATCCCATGACTGATGTGGCTTGCAGCATGCATCCTCTGCTGGTGTGGGCTGGGCAGGCCATGTTATATCATGGAGTGCAAAAAATGTAGGTTGGGGCATGAAGCCACCAACATCTGTGTTGAAGTTCCTTGACTACTCTATCATAGATGGAGCAGGAAAAAACAAACTTGCATCTTCTGCACTGAACTATTTACAAACTCTGCACTACTATTACTATTAATCTTTTCATCATTCCTTATCACCCATTCTCTCCCACTTGTGACTGTATGACTGTAACTTTGTCACTTGTATGCTTATGATTTATATTGACTGTTTCCTAGTATGATTTGATTGCTTATTGTACCCTATGACTATTATTAAGTGTTGTACCTTATGATTCTTGACTCTTGACAAATGTATCTTTTCTTTTATGTATACTGAGAGCATTTGCACCAAGACAAATTCCATGTGTGTCCAATCACACTTGGCCAATAAAAGAATTCTAATTCTAATTCTAACATACTTATGTCATGTTGAGGATTCTCTTGAAAAGAAAACTATCAACTCCATCTGAGAAGTCAGGAGTTTGAACTTTCTTGTTTTCAGGACATTTTCAACATGCTGCGTGAAGTCTAATCTTTTTTGAGCTAAGAGTGGTTGGGATGCACCCCACTTTAGTCATCTATTCTAAGCTGCTGACTGTCACCAGAATAGGGGACTGGAAATGTTACAATTTAGCTCTGCATAAGCATATGCCAAAATAGAAAATACAGTGTCATGATTATTATTACATTTCTTGAAGAAAAAGTGTAAGGATTTTAATTTATAATTATTAAGGCATAGGAATGAATTGCAATGAGTGTGTATAAATGAAAATTGTATATCCACAAAAGGCTTTGTGTTTCTAAGGCAAATATTATAGCGGAAATAATTATCCAAACTTATGAATTCATAAAATGAGCCCATGAATCCCAACTTTTACAATAAATCTTCTTAACTCATTTGCTACAAGTTTAGAATGGCTTTTCTAATATTTACAGTACACTGCATTACTATTTTTTTTCAGATCAATAATTAGGATATGAAACATTCAATTGTCTAAAAGGCAATTCCTGTTTTATATTCTTTAGCAGATTCTGTTTATTGAGTGTACGGTGGGACCATGTCGTCATCCTATATGAGAACTATATTGGGCAAATTAGACATTTCACTTAATCAAAAATTGCCATTCTTGCTAATTAAGATTGTATTTTAAAAGGAATAGGATCCTTGATACAAACACTACCTAATCTGTTTGTGTTATTTTTTTCTAATATGAGCTGTTGTTCAATTGCTCACATCAAATGATAAACTTTATCACATTAGTTAAAGAAAGTAAATGAATGGATAATCAGTTTTATCCTTGTAATGTATGTATTCCCAGTATAAAAGCATCATTCTTTAACAAGAGAAAGCCTTTGGTGAAATCCTACCTGAGTCAATGAAAAAGAGCACTTTAAGAAACAACTTTCATTGCAAAGATCAGTTTAGGAAATAACAAAAATCTGCCTGACACAATGGAAAGGAAAGACTGTGTTGTTCTCAATCCATCTAGTTGTCAGGAACTTGTTTCATCACCACGTTCAAATCTCTATGCTGCAATTGCAAGGGGAGGAGACTTGATGTAAAAGTTTCCCTGTTGTTTGTGTGCCAGCTATTGCAGCTTGTCTAATTTATATTTAGCCAGCTTTAATAAAACACAGAATGCAACAAACAGCGACAATGAAAATTGTATTCTCTTGATCAATCATTTTTACTTCAAACTTGTTTTTGTGCTGTGGAGCTACAGACTTTCCTCCTGTATAATATGCTCCCTATAAGTAATGAAAGCTGTTTCTTAAAGTGATCCTAGAGTCCTTTGTTAAAGTCAAGGATAATTTGGGCTGACTGATTTTGATTGCTGTTCTTTTCCTGTAAAGAGGGCTCAATAAGTGAAGCGGCTTGCATGTATAATTTAGATGTGGA